ACACCCTCTTAATTTTTGCTTAAAAAATTCAGAAATGAATTAAGAATCCTTAACTTGTCTTTTTTAGTCGACAAATGAATTAGTTTTAATGAAGCACCGAGTCATGCATTTCATTTGTAAAATAGGATTGTAAATTTTTTATTTTATTTTTATATCATGATAGATGAAAATATGTGTAAGATAGGCATGGACGGATGTAGGTAGCTCAAGCCAACCCCAGCCAATTTTTTTCCTTATAAAAAGTCGAAGATTTTTAAGTTTAGTCTTGATTTCGTCCTTGAAGTTAGGTGATCAAATTGTAAAACATAGTTAGGTGACTAACACAAAATAGATGGAAATTATGTGACTAACACGGGGCTCACGTTGAATAAAAAATTCTTGGGTCCCCCCTCCTGTAAGTACATTGTCAACTGAGGTTGTCAATTTCAATTGTACAAAAAGAATAATTCATATTGTGAAATCGCAAATTGGCCATAAAAAGAAGCAGACTGTATGCGATGACAGAAAATCTGTCATCTTGAAATTGTCAAATAAAGAACCAGATTTGCTTATAATCCTCCTTAAGGCTGTTTTTTAGAAGATACAGACACAGAAGGGAAATCATGAGATGCCAAATAGGTAACTACCAACTTAATGTGTGACATTTTTCAAGCATAATTTATGCTTGTCTACGATTAATTTTTCTTAATATTACTATAGTTATTTTTTAATTAGTTGATTATATTCAATAGTAATGTTCTAATATTTGATCTACTTTTTTATGGATCATCAGGCGAAAATCACTATCGTGGATAGTTTCGCCAAGTCTCACCAAATCGAGTTGCTTATTTGTTTGAAAAACTCGTTGGAAATTTCAACACACTATATTCTCTCACGAGGAACCTACAGAATGCAAAGATTCTCAGACCGAACCAAGCCTGCCAACAGAAACGGTACAAGGATTTTTATGCAAATGTCTTTTGTTGTCTTGTCCTGGCAACAAAAAGCTGATTGATTTGGCCCTTGTTCTTGCATGGATGACTGGAGACAACTCTTTACTCTATAAATAGCTCAAAGTCAGGGAAGCTTATTGTCCGATTGAAGAATTGGATGGCACATTTGTTAAGAAAGTGAAGGACAAGGAATTAGATTGTGATTCATACAATAAGGACACTGTCATGGTTTGTCTGATGGTCTATGTAGTCCGGAAAAATGTTGTGGAGGAAGAGCTGCTTGCCATTGCATTATTAGTGCAGTCACTGCTGGTAATGATTCTGTTATAAAGCTACCACCAATTCTGGAACTCTACGAACATCTGGTGATATGTCAACAAATCTGCTATTCCCATTCGGCATCTATCAACTTAATTCGTTCTGCGATTCAATATTTATTTCCTTATTCATTTGAATGTACTTGGACCCTGTCCCTGCTTCCTAGGATGCCCCGTCCCAAGAATACGAAGAACAGAATGGGAAAAGAGAGCAAGTAAAACAATTTGTAGTTCATGTTATAATCACCGCAGAATTTAGAGTTTATGTAGATTCTCTTCTGCAAAAGAGGACATCTTGATAAAGGTTAAATTTTTCTTCGATTGTTATAATTTTCCCGAATTATGTAAATATTTATTTTATTTCATTTAGTTCAGATTCTTTTTGTGTTTATTTTTGCAGTAAATTGAATAAAAAGTTCTTTGACTCTGTTCTGTTTGTACTTTTGCTCGTTGAACAGTTTGTGATGTTGAGCAATACTGAACATGCGGCTAGCCTACACAATTGAATTGGATAATGTTGAGAAATTAAAGTAGGAAAGCAACGGTCTTAAGAAATTGATAAAATTAACACTGGTGGTTGAACTAGGACCAAATATTTTGATGAAATTATGTGTTTCAAATTCAATTCTCTGCATTTTTCATGTTCTGTGCACCTCAATTTTGGCCATCAACCTAGTAACATGTCAAGAGGTCATCCATGCCAACTTGGCATAGATATCGACGGAAAGATGAAACAATCATGCTACACTTTCAGGTTCAAATTCAGATGTGACACATGTCAACGCATGATTGGATAGTTTAAAAAATTAAAACAGAAACACCTAATCATTTTCTGGCACATCATTCTGTTTCTTCACTACCTGTTTTTCAATCTAGCTAAGTGGCTTTATTCACAGATGAAAATATTTACGAACTAGAAGATACCACCTTTTCCAATAAAGCTTAGGCTATGTTTGACCTACGTTCTTTTAAAAAAAAAAATATTCTTAGACAGTGATTTGATATTATTTCAACTACACATTATTCAATAAAATAATATTACACGCAAATTCAAAATTTTTTTTATTTTTTAATTATATATTTCTATCAACACACTATTCAAAAATGCATTCTTATGAAAATAACGTGGCTCAAACAAGGGCTTAATTGTCTTGGAATATCAACTGAAAGAGAAAAGATCAATCATGTCTGAAAACCTAAATGGATTCGTGAACAAAAGGTAATAGATACTCCAGAGATACAAAAGTGTCATCATCGTGAATGAAAATACCAAAAATTGCACTTGATGAATATACATTTCGCTATAATTTGTCTTTGGGTCACTCCATCGATTGAATGCCACATGCCAACGGAGTATAGGCCATTGTGGAAAAGAATGAATACCCACTAGAATGGGAGGAAATAGAAGAAAAGATTGGATAATGAAGTTTTTTTTTAGCCGATTAAGCTTGATTTGACAAAGTTTTTTGAGATTACAAGTTAGTGGATCTCATGAAATGTATGATTAAACTGTAGATAAAAGTCGTGCGCTCAGTAAAATATATAATTAAAAAAATGAAGTTTAAGCATCTTATAGTATGAAACAAGTTTTGACAATTTTTTTGTTGGTAACGCTCCAAAACAAGTCCATGGTAGTTGGGAAATTGCTTAAAATGAGTAGTTAATATTTAAAGATCCTTCCTAATGAAGTTAATTAATAAGATTAAGGTTATTAATTAGAAAACAAAGTTAACTAGTGGAAGTTTAGTATATTGAATTATAAAATAAAGTTAATTAATTAGGAAATAAAAGCATATGGAACACAATACTTTTAATTGATTTAGATGTGAGTGATATGACAACTTATTGAATACAAAGTAAAAGATGCTTTAATGGATTTATATCCACTATTAGAAATAGAAGTAATCATTCTACAGCTCAAAAATCTCAATTATTGTCTATATATCAAGATACTTTACAAACATTATTTGATTCCAAATCGAAGAAAGTCCTTCTATAGCGTGTTAGGTGTGTATTCCGGAAAATTCAGACAAAATTTATTATATCGAAATATGAAAGTTGATAGCGACAGACAAAATCAAGAGAAGTTTACTTATTTGTCAGTAAACGATTCATATCAAAATTTTCATCATAGTATCACGATAAAAGTAATTTATAAGTAATATTTACACATCATGGAAAGAAAATAATTCAACGAACTTTTTACTACGCCATACTAAAAATTTAAATTACCTATCTTATAAACTAGTACTAGTCCAAGAATGTCGACGTTGATTGGTAAAACTAATTGATAATTTACGTTAACAAAGCCGAGAGCTTCATAGTTGATACGTCATAACTAAACCCTTTTTAATCTCGAAGGAGATGTCGAGAAATTGTTATTCGTAACCTTAATTAGGTTATAGTGGAACGGTAGTGTAATCAATTAAACTTCAATAATGAAATTGAAAGTATCATTATTATACGATGTTTATATATACACGAAAATAATATTTTATATAAATCGGATCCATTCCAAAAACGAACCACCCAATCTAACGACAAAAATGGCATGGAGTTTGATATTGCTGTAACAAGCTCATGCAGCAAATATTTTGAAATTCCACTTTCGTAGAAAGTCACTCAATTTACAAGTCTGTTTTTATGTTTGTCACCTGATTTTAATTTGTTATATTTTAACTATTCAATTTACATTTTTGTCCTAAAAGCCTCCCTAATTGTAGAGTACGATGTATCAGTCGGACCTTGAGATACAAAGAGCCAATTAATTCGTAGAATACAACTCGATCATTTTGAAACTTCCAAGTCATAAGTTCATGAGTATACTTATCATTTTTGAAATTGACGTAACAATAATTCGACATCAAACCATTAGAGCATGTTTGGCCCCCTATTGTTTTCCCCATTTTTTCCAACCTTTTGTTAACAATTGTGGGTCCCGTGTCAGAAATTGAGACAGCCACCCCGACAAAAGCTGAGGTCGAAATCATTTCAGGCTTCTGTTTGAAATTAGACATTTCTTTCTTTCCATTTTTGTCCTTCAATAAGAATTTTATTCATTCATTAAGGGTAAAGTAGTCTTCAAATCTCAACGGATGATATTATCTCTATCCATTTCTAATATTGTCTTGCATGTGCACGACAGTCACTTATCAAATACTGTAAAAAAAAAATGAGTTTTGGAAGAAAAAAATT